ACTTTTATCACCTATCATTTAATTAAAGGCCTTAAATTAGCAGTGGGTTCCGCATTTTATTAAGCCATTTTAATTTTAACAATCATTCCATAAAACTACATTTTACCGCTATAATATGTATGTAATATAAGCGTATATACGTGCGCATTTTACCGCCGAACCTTAAGTTCTTTAATCCATGTTATATATACATTACCGCGCCAAGGTGGGGGGCGGATATAATTTTAAGGATTATATTACTTTATAAAATTATTTTAAAAATTTAAATATTATTATAATATCCCGATATAATTATTAAAATAATATTATATATCGAATTATTTTAAATATTTATAATAATGTTAAATAAAAATAACTTTATATTTAAAATAATTATAAAGATTATATTAAATTTATATGATTTTAACTTTTTAAAATAATTTTAATTTTTTAAAACGATTTTAACCTTTTAAAATGATTTTAAGGCTTATTTTAAATTATACCTACCTTTTTTTATTACGACTTTATATATTATAATAATAAGTTAATTATTATTTTTTATAAAATCGTAATAACGTAAGATTTAATTTAATTATAAAACACGTAAACTTATAATCGTAAAACACGTAATTTTATAATCGTAATTATAATTATAATTTTACTTATAAGTTTATAATTTAAACTTTAATTATAATAATAATATATTTTTATTTTTAAATATTTATAATAATAATATTATATTATATATAAATAAATATATGTGTTTAAGTTGCTTTTTTTTTTCATTTATTAAGTATATATATACTTTATATACTTATATGTTTATATAATATTAACATGTTTTTAAAATTTTAAAATGATTTCCGGGACCATGTCGAAAGTACGTGATTATTTTAAAAAAGTAAGTATTTTATTTTTTAAAACTTTTATATTTTACATATAATCTCGGAATTTCGTGACTTTGTTTTTTTAAATATAATGTATTTTTACATAATCGTTTTTAATTCGAAAGAATTACCAAATCGCATGAGGGTCTCGTTAATAATATTATTAGTTCCTTTTTATCGTTAAAAGCTGGTTTTTTAATTGAAATTATTTCGAATCGTTAGGATCATCCCTAAGATCATGTCCGCCTCCCACCTAGGCGCGGTAGTGTATGTATCCGCCCCCCTGTCCATGCGCGCTTAATTCGCAACGAAGCCAATTGCATAGTCTCCTTAGTCCAAAAATAGCATCCCACGCGTCCCTTACGCAAGCGTGTCGGCGCTTCTATATATTGTATGCTATGAAAAGCAGTGAAATCATCAGATCATCCTAACATAGAATTGTAGAAATTGGGCTTTCGCGCGGATGCCCGGATCCCTATATCCGGTAACGCTCCGCTTCCTCGCGCTCGGATATCTTCGCTGCCGGCAGGCGGAAGATGCACCTCCCGCTAGGCGAAGCTTAGTAGTCTAGATAAAATATAGCGGTAAGTGCACGTGGAAAATAGACGCCATGCCGGACGATATCCGATGTACCTATCTTAGCTCTAGCCGATGCGGCGCTTTTGTAATCCGAAATGAAACTCGGGATAGTTTAAATGAGGGCGTTGCGCGGATTCGCCTGTCTCAAAGAGGATGCCTATAGGTATTATACTGAATCTGCCACGAAAGTGCCAGACTTATTATAGGCACGGATTTATTTAATCAGCTTGACCTAACATGATATCGAGGAGCGGCGTCCGGATATCTTGCCGGAAAAGTGGGTCCATCCGCTATTTACCGGTTGAGGCACGGCCGGAAGACCGAATCTCGCTCCTATCACAGCACAGGCAGGGATACTTATGTGTCATTGTGCTGAGATGGCAGTTTTCATAGTAAGCCTAATCAATGCGTCGCGTCCGAGTAGTGAGCCTTAGAGTCAGCCTTGAGCCTAGATTTTGGTCAAAGTTCTGGATATACTTGTTTGTGATGTTTACGACGAAGATGTCACAAGGTAGAGCAAGAAGCATAGAAACGACCCGGTCGTTCCGCAAGAAACTCTAAGATAACTATGGGAGCCTTTGGCTATGCAGACTAAAAGTATCTTTTGTTCTGGATGTCTCTATGATCTTAATATAAGAGACCATGAGTATAGGTTTAATTGCTGATATTAAGTCGAAGATGTTATCTACCTACCTACTTACATAAAATAGCGAAATAAAGCATTGGAAAATTATAATTACACCGGCGAAGCGCACCAAACTTGTAACTATTCTAGTAACATTTGTAAATCCCGTAAGTGAATAAAGCAACCCTACTTTCATGAGTCTAGCTAGGACTGGGCTACCAGTGTAGTTAGAGTTTTATTCTAAGCATTGAATAGACCCTTTTAGTTACAGCGAGTTCAGACTTTCTACAGGTTACACGAAGTGCTAATGTTCGAAGCATCTTTAGAAGTAAACTGTGTGTTAGTATCAATAAACCCCCCTCCCCCTTTTTTAAAGGTTTGTCATCAATCAACATTCATTCCTTTTTAAACCCAGTTATAGTTCAAGTCAAGTAACTAGTATGTTTCACTACGAACCACAGCTTTCCATCAAGATCATTCATTTAGTCAAGACTTTTATTCGACTATTCTTAAACCCATATTTACAACCCTAAAATCGAATAGTACCTAGTACGCATCAAAATCGTCGACTGCGAGATAAAACACCGCTTACACCAAAGTTGAATCATAAAACCCTATGTGAAGAATAGAATCTAGGTATCTTAAGAACGAGCCAGGTATCTCTTAAGCAATCTCGTAACTGCTGTCCTCCTTTCCCGTAAGCCCCTTATCACGAATCCGAGTACGCCCATCCATGTCTAGCTGATCTTAGGAAGGCGAGCTCGGAAAGCCTGCGTCGTCTTCTTATTCCTTCATCTTGACGTAGTTACTGGGAAATATGCCATGTCTTGAGCCGATCATGCCCGTCCTAAAACTGTATATTAGTGCCAAAGTTTCGTTAAATCGCACGGGCTAGCATGTCCTTACCACCAATCATTATCACTATCCGTCTTTTTTAGCACTGTGATAATATCACCCTTTTTGAAACCCAAATCGCCTGGCTGGTCCGGTTCGAAGTTGTATAACGCAACAGCCTCGTTCTTCTTCATTAACGCCTGCTTACTTGCGAAATTCGGTTTTGGTGCCGCGGGTCTACCGGGGCCGGTCCGTCCCGCTTCTGAGTAACCACCCACAGGGGCAGAGGCTCGCACGCCCACAGTGCCGGATCTAGAAAGGCTGCCACCAGCGGCCGGTCGATCGTACACGTCGTCTTGCCATGTATTTGAGCGCTTCGGCGCGCCGAACTCGTTCTGACCATTGTTTTGCTGAGGTTCGCCGTAAGCACTCCCTCGCTGGCCGTTCCATACTACGTCATCATGACGGTCTTCATAAACTGGGACGTCATTATACATGGCGTCGTCCATGGTACCTTGGCGTACACCCGCAAATATTCTGGAATTGAGGACGGACATTAACGGCGCGGCTTGCGGTGGCGGTCGTACGGAACCCGTGAGGAGCTGTGCTGCTGTCCAGCGCTGGCCGTATAACTTTTCGTTCGCGTCTCGTCGTTCCACAATCGCGGAGCCCTCTAAAGATACACCAGCAAATAGACCTTTTGTCTTGCTATAACTGAACACACCCGCCACGCTCTTAAGAGATGCGGCACCGGCAGCCTCCGCGTTTCTGCCTACCGGTCCTGCCGCTATAGAGACATTCCCACCTAGCGTAATAGACCCTTGCTGAGAGAATGTTTTAACGGCGTGGGAATCGTTGAGGATAAAGACGAAATCGGTCAATTCGAACCCAATCTGGCCACCAAAGCCACCACCCGCAGTGATGATGGCCGACGGCGCAGACCACGTGCCGTCGGGCAAGCGGGCGACGACAAGCCCAGAACCAAATCGTGCAGACCCGAGGAAGCCGGCTTTGATGACGGTGAGTATCGCAAGGCCCTAAGTTAAGTATTTGTAAGTCACAATCTTTGTATATATGGATAAGGATAGTATCGTTCCTAGACGCCTCGTCGGAATGCGACGGAAGCTCACTTACTTTGGCATTCGCTAAAACCGACGGAGGAATTATCTTGTCGGGGCCAAACGCCTGGCGAGGATCAATGAAAGAAGTAAGAATTTTGCCACATTTCTTGCATTCCGCTATAGGAAGGGTTAGCATTCATTTATAACCGTATAACCGTAGGTACCCGATCCCGATCGCGCGAGACTGCGCGTATTCGTAGGTAAAGACTTACACGCCATAGACGACGGAAGAGGGTTGTTAATACCCATCTTGAGAATACTGTTGGTATCTCAAGTTGAAAGGCGATCTAATCCGAAATTTCCGAGCTTGAACCCTTTTTGCGACAGTAATGAATATTAAATGGTTGACGGGTATAGCGATGGGTTGCAAACACCACTTGCGGGGGTTAAACTCGTCAAAAATAAACTGGATCTTTGTGAGAAGGTGGGTTTAAATGGCACAAATGTATGTATTGTTAGGATATGAATCTATAACGCGCAACTATTGCGATGGTAACTTTTTGGATGTCGAAAAATGAACAGATAGGTACCTTAGGTAGGTAGGTAATAGGTAGGTTAGTAGGTGCCTGACTAAGGCTGGTATGTAATATTTGTACGAAAAACAACTGTTTACCTTTACGAAGGGAAGAACCAATACTAATGTCGTCAGCTGCGCAAGCTCTGCCTTAGCGGGGCAGGCGGCAGCAACGGCAAAGCTCCAGAGCGCCAAAGCCAAAGCTAGGTACCTAAGGTACAGGTATATACTTCGAGAGTACAGAACGATGAGGTCAGAGTTGGGACGGCCCCACGTACCACGAGTAATGATTTCCGAGCTGCTGGAAGCTGAAAGTTAAGCTGGGGTAGATGCCAATTCAAGTGGCAGACGGTACAATCTTGGTACCGATACAACACTGCAAGGATCCGCGGCGCTACCTATCTAACCGTACAAGTACACTATCAGACTATGTAGGATGCTAAAGTCACCAGCCACAATCTGCGTCATCTCGCCAACTCGCCTCCTTTTCTCGTCACGGAACCAACCTGTTACAGCCGACTTTTGGGCTAAAAGAATAGCAATAATACATACCTAACGTACCTACACTTACGGAAAACAAAGACGACAATCAATCCTCGCCCACTGGGGGCCCTGAGTATCCACGAACCTACAAGTACACCGATTCGCTCATCGCCGCCGCTTCATATTCCGCGATCCTTTGGCGGCGCATTCAATTACAAGACCGATTTCCGATTCCGCCGTGCTTTCCACTCCTTCAAACTATCGTAAAATAACAATAAAACATATACGCGAAGGGGGAAATCCAATCCAACCATCGAGGTTCGACAATGTCGGAGGCGTACGAGCGTGAGCGTCAGAACAATGCGCGCCTGGAGGAGCTGTCCGCAAAGGTGTCGTCGCTGCGCGGCGTAACGGTGGACATCTACGATAACGCGAGAGCGCAGGACGTGATCGACAATACTGTACGGCTTACCGCTTAACATTCATTCATTTATCTGCCTTTTGGGGGGCATAAGACTAACAACTAGGCTTTCGCGTCATGTAGTCCGATACGTTTTCTTCCATGTCGTCGCAGCTGAAGGGATCCGCCGGTCGATTGGGCCGTATGGCAGCGTCGGGGAACAAGGTCGCTATTCTAAAACTCTCCGGCATCCTCATCGGCGCCTTTCTCGTACTATATTATATCCTCAAGTGGATTTTCTGAACGGCTACTCTGCGGATTGGCACGCCAATATGCGAGCTAGGAGAAAGCGACCAAACTCTATTGAGGAAAGCCAGGTAGGCTATTGTCGGATGATATACCATTAACCTAGTCCTTTACGCGAGCCCGGCGGATTTGGACCCTTCAGATTTGGAACCCTTGGATGGCGTAGACGATCATGAAATAAAAGTGGCGGGTGATTACACTTGGCTAGTACGACATGGATACACGATTGAGAGACAAAGGATGGAGCTGCAATTTGTGATGGCATACCTATACGGTATCGGCAGCAACTATTTAATAAAACGGGAACACGTGTCAAATTATTGTTCATTTGATATGGAAGACTCGTAATCCTTGCAGCATAGCACAGGCGTTACGGATTTGGCCTTCTTAGTGTCAAGTAGATTATTTGCGAGCAAAAACTAGCCCAATGAATTTATCTGAATTGGTCTTACCTTATGTGCAAGTTCATATTTGACAACTAGCTTTGCAAGACCAAGCATAGCGAGCAGTCATAACTACCTATAGTCAACTCAAAATTGACAAGTTAAGCCCCTATTTCGTCGGATCCCCTAGCATACCTAGCGACCGACTGGCAACTTACTGCCAAACGTTGGAGAATAAATCATCACCCCCGAATCCGCCACCAGATTTTGATCCGCCGTTGTTGTTAGAATTTCCACCTGTACTACTAGTCCAACCTCCGAATTCCTCGTCTGCTGCCACCTTTGGGGCAGCGGTAAACCCTCCAGAGGTACCCGGTACCAAACTCTGACTGGCAAAAGATCCACTGGTACTACTCCAGGCACCAAAGTCGTTGCCACCGCTTATAGGGGACTTAGCTGCCAGTGGACTCTTGGAAGCTGCAGCTGGACTGGGTTCAGGAGCACTCCACGCATTCCCCCAGACATCCGAATTGTTAAATGCAGATGTGCTCAAAGAAGAGGTCGTATTTGTAATGGGCGCTGGTGCGGGGACCGGCTTTGATTGGTTTGCGGAGAGATTGAAGATAGAGTCAGAAGTTGATGAAGGCACGGGGGCTGGCTTGGGCGGAGCTGGTTGAGCAGGGGCAGACCAGTCAAAGAGATCGCCCAAGGCTGCCGAAGAAGATTGTGTTGGCTTTGACGGAGCAGCCGATATGCCAAATGCGCCGAAGCTGTTAGATGGCGATACTGAAGACCTCGGCTGCTGTTGCGGTACCGATTGAGCGGGCTTGGGGTCAAAGAAGCCACCCCCACTGAGACCAGAGAACGAAGAACCCGAAGGCTGGGGAGTGGATCGGTTGCTCGATATGTTCGATAGACTAGCAAATGCATCGTTCTGTGGACTCTTCGGCGGTGGTACCTTTCCAAAACTCAAGCCAGCAAAAGCGTCTTCTAGCCCTCCGCCTGTTGACTTCTGAGGTTGGTGTCCCATCGTCGGGGATTGCAAGGGAGATTGCATCGCTCCAAAACCCCCGAAGGATCCAGAAGAGGAGTGTGACGGCTGCTGTGGCGCGTGCTGAGGCCGCGGGGCCGAAGCATAGAGAGATAGAATAGATTGTTTAAGGTCAGGCCTCGATTGACTACCTATTCCGCCCGCGTTATTCGTACTTGCTGGGCGCGGAGGTGCGGCCGGCGCTTCGCCGAAAAAGTCCAATCCCAGGAGTGAGTCTTTAGTGTTCACTGCTTTTGGAGGAGCTGGTGCAGATTTAGGAGGAACTTGTGAAGAAGCTGGGCCGGCGGTACTCGCTCTCGGGGGGATGTCGTCGCCACCGATGAGATCCGCTTGAGGAGCTGGAGGTGCTATACCACGCGGCGCAGCTTGTTTCCCGACGGAGCTTTTCCGAATTGACTCCTTTCTGTCTATACTTTGCTTCTCTTTCACGATGCTTAGTGGAACGTCATCATCGCCTTCAACATCTAGGCTCGCAGGATCTGGCATCGGCCCATCCATCACCCATCTCTTAAGTTCGTATTTGGTTCTGATAAAGTTCTCGATCTTTGCTTCGGAGGGGACATGGCCAGTAGCCAGCTTTGATTCCCAGTATTTGTTGGCGCGCGCATTACCCCAGCTCAGGACACTCTGCAGTTGCTCGTCTGTCCACGAATCCAGATCAACCGACTTGACTCGCGATATGTGAGTGCCCATTCCTCGATGGATTCCTGAGCAGCGAATGCAGATAAAGACACCCAAGTTCCAGCTCGCCCATCGCGGATCTATAATAAAGCGTGAGTCCAGTAGGTCGATATTAGTAGACTGGGTATGTTTGAGGAAACGCACGCTTATTTCGTTTGCAATCGGCGCATATTTTGTTGGAGTCCAATTTCAAGAGACTTTTAATGGTCTGTTGATTTTGGGCTGCTCGTTCAGCAGCTGGGTTAGGAGGCCGTCTAGACATGGCGTGATCGCTACCGACAACAAGCAAGAATAGACGTGAAATAGCTAGTTATGCCAATTATAAAGTTGACAGGTATGCAGACCAAAAGTAGAGGTAAGGAAGTAGGTGGTTGGAAAGGGGTGCCTAAAAGCAGAGTTGAAAGGGGATAGTAAGTGATGGTGTGGCAGCGATATTGAATTCTAAAGTGTAAAAGGCGAAGTGCAACTTGAATGAATGAAACTCTGGCTTTCCTCGATTTGGCCTTGGTCTTGGTCTGAGCGTTCAAGTACCTACGTAGTTATTACATGGTACATGCTTTAGGTATTGTACTTCGTACCTGCAATGACTGCCCAAGACGACGCATAATCGGAAAGCGCTATTTTGAATTAATCCGTTATCTTTGTTCTTGATATCTACCCGTGGACCTTGTTCGTAAGCAAGGTAGTGACGACATATGCATATAATTCCACCCCATGTCTTCGGTAGCGCGGCTTTCAAGTATTTCTTATACTACAACTCCTCCAAATAGCGAAACGGTGATTCCAAATCATAGCATCAAATCTCACATAATTCTATACCATAATTCCAATTCTTAATACCATCGACGGATATATAGCCCTATTCTCATATCATCAAAACTGATGCGATTATCCCAATTCTCCAACTTATTCCGAGCCTTCTTTGCCTTTTCTACTCCGACTAGGGTTCGTCCTTTAGTTCATCAATCACTACGCCACAACGCAACACCATTGAGGTTTATGCCGACTCTTCCCTTTATAGGAAGTCTATTTGGCTCAAGCTCTAGCAAACCTAACAATATGTCGTATCCGGACCAGAGAACGCCTGACGAGTGGCGCGCCGTTCTCACTAAAGGTACTGTATATCCGGTCTTCTCCCAGAACGAGCATCGCCGCCATCCGCGCTCGGGCATTTACTAACTTATATTTCTCAGAACAATTCAAAATTCTCAGAGAAAAAGGTACCGAGCCGCCAGGATCTGGGAAGTACGATCAATTTTTCTCCGATTCTGGAGTGTATACGTGTGCAGGCTGCAATGCGCCCCTGTACAAAGCAAATCACAAATTCAAATCTGGCTGCGGCTGGCCGGCATACTTTGACAGCATTCCCGGCGCTGTAACAAGACATGTTGACAACGCGTGGGGTATGGAAAGAACAGAGATTTGCTGCGCCAAATGCGGTGGCCATCTTGGCCACGTCTTCAAGGGGGAGGGATATCCAACCCCAACAGATGAGAGGCACTGTGTTAACAGTGTCAGCTTAAACTTCTCCCCAGAAGATAAACCGGCCCAAGAAGGGGAGAAATAGAGCAGGATCAGTATCTTATGAGTCATACGTCGAAATTAATTTTGTCATTTTCAAGGAGTGAATATGTAGTAGTCGGAGGTGTGAGACGGGTAGAGGTATTCAAAAACGACGGCGCTAACCAGGTAGAGTAATGCTGTAGGCAGGTAGGGGCTGGGGATGCTATAGGCAGGAAGTGGAGGATTTCTCATGTCAGGCGAAACTCTAGCTCTGTTCCCTTAAGGGAGTACTCTAGACGTCTAAAGTGCCATAGATGCGCCGCTGAGGTAGCTACCTAGCTTATAGCAACCAATAGACGTTAACGTTCTCATCATCGTCGTCATCAAAATGAAGTATCATGTCTCTCTTTCCAACAGGATAAAATAGGGTGACGTTTCGGGTGCTCTTCCTGGGAAGTTGTATAGCGTTTAGGCCTCGTCAATTCCCAAGTATATACCTACCTAAGGTAAGCGAGGCACATTAACTTACTGCTATGGTCAAGGCTTCCGCATAGTTCTGACCACCCACCAAATCTTCATGTAAAAAGATCGATGGACTTGCCCTTAGTTATTCATACTAACAAACTTTCATTTTGGTGTGTCGTTTCCTGATCCATCTCCTAATAGGAAACCAAGTTCGTTATAAAAGAGCGCGGCCACCCAATCTCCCTCCATAAATTCTCTACTTCTACTCTTACAAGCCATATCCTTAATTTCCTTTTCCACCCAAACCAAATATATATACTCATTGTTGCAATATGGATGGCCAAGGCATCTCATCGTCCTCGCCAAGTGACTCCGTCGCGGACACCTCAGTAGCGACATCGTCACAGTCACAACCATCGCCAGAACAACATCGACCAACATCGACATTACCAAGAATCATTGTTGTTTTTATGAACGGTTGTCATTCTAGACTACGCTCTGTTATTGACAGGGAGACTGGCGAACGTATCTACGATCACGAGAGAGACAAGGATAAGCCGATCGAAATGTCCTTTGTGCAAGGAAAACTCCAGTCCCTCCAGGATACGGACGAGGGCCATTTCATATACATTCGTGGCATCACGCATAGGAAGCAAGACACATACGAAGCAAAACTACCTGGGCGTGAACGAGAGTATCATTCACCTTGCCCCGCAAAGAAGCATCAGGTATTTAATCCTCCCCTCTGGCATACATGCGAGTCACCAATATAGCGTATACTAACTTCACATCGGTTCGAACTTCAGCGGATACATTCATTTGCTTGATATTTTATACTTCGGATGGAATTCTTCATTTACATGCGCATATTGTACGGACGCGTTACGACTACCATGGACCAGAAAGCCCCTCATCAGCGTACATTCATTCTATGGTCAGCACAACGAGCGCGGTTTAGGGTTAAGATATCTTTTAGGGTAGGGTTTCTTGGGGCACGATACCCAAGCCCATGGAGTCATCAGAAGCGTCAGGAGCGTTGGGAGCATAGTGGGCATTCATTATTGGACATGGATACTAGGAAGCGTTAACCATAGATTCGCAGTTTCTTAATGTATTGTTTCTTTTAGCTAGCATGTCTTAATGTAATGTTTTTTTTAAGCTAGCATGCTGTCCTGCTACTACTGACACACTACTTGTCGTATGGTGCCTATACAACCGTAGAAATGTTAGAATTATAGAACACATAGCACGTACATGATTACGTCGACTGTTCTATACCCTTCTATCTAATGCGATACATACGACATTGTCTAAATATTAGTAACGTTGCACACCCACGCAGTTGTTTATATTTGACCATAATCCATAGTTGCGCGGCCCAACAACATGCATAGCATACGGTGCCAATATAAGCTATTTTGAAATCCTCGAAATTCTATAAAACCTCACTTGACATCCGAGCATTTATCTAGGCAGGTCTGACTCACTGTCTCACCTTACCTATACTTTAACGTAACTGTGTCCGAGTACGTGGCTGATCTGACTCAGAACCCGGCCTTCTTTGTATGTTGCGCTGGATATGCTGATGGGAAGCCCCTTGGCTCAGAGTACACAAGTTGTGATCTGGAAAAGGATAATGAAACTGCTTACGCGGCTGTATTGGTGCGTGTCCTTCCCGACCCGGACCTTACTAAAGCTCATATCGCTATTAGTCATCTATTCAACGCGGAGGAGTATATTGACTTGACCGTTAACTATTTTGCGTCGCGGTGTAGGTGTGCTAACGGGAGATAACAGCGAGTGGAAGGCGCGACGTAACTCTACATTCGTCATTGTGGAGGACTGGGCAAGGGAGAGGCCGCCTCATAATTTTACTTTGAAGCCAACTGAAGCTGCATGAACTTGGGTCGCCAATGCCATCTATGAGGTCTAACAAACCTTCACTACTGTTCCATCTTAGGACACGTCTAGACCATAACAAATACCGTATTAGTGCTGGCTATCGGGTCTTCGCACTGCATTAGTGGGCGCCCAAAGAGAAGAAATGATAGAAATACCTAATACTAGCTGCGTTGCCCACCCGCGCAAACGCGTACGGGGAAAAGGGGGAGAAAAGGGGGGATTATGCGTAAAACTAACGTCACGGCTAAAATCTAGCCTTTGATTAGCTAACCATACCTCAGCGCACGTCCGATGAATCTTTTATAAAATCAATTAAATTATTTCAGTATTATATAAAATCTTTAATAATTAATATTGTTAGATAGAGCTCGTTTTGCGTGATCTTTCTATACTATTCGCATATATTTTAAACGTTATGCGATAGAATGGCAAAAGAAAATGTCGCCAACTGCGAGGCGATTATAAGCATCTGATTAGTCTAAAAAATTGTAGCGGTACTAAGAAAATATAGGAGAGTAGGTTGGACTTTAGGTTTTGCGGCTGAGTCCATCTTGCAGTTTTAGATATGGTGTTTAGTCATATGAAAAGACTTGATTCGCCGTTACAATCCCTTGCCATGTTATTCGTATGGGAGACATCTTGCTTCTACAAGTTCGTCCCTGTCAGATAATCCGTATTTCGACCTCTTCTATTATGGGACAGTATCGATACATTGGGGTAGACATATTCGATAAACAGTTGCATGAAGAGTCTTCTTTAGCCTCTAACCCTAGTCCTAACGTTATAGTCCAGACTATGCTCGGTCCTATTTTCAAGCAGTACCGTGTCCTCGACCTACAGGATGACACTATTTCGGCCATGACCGAACTAGGTGATATCATGACTGGAATCCCCGTTTTAGACCAGTCCAACCTGTTAGGTCGCTTACAGCAGGCATTCAATAATGGACTTGGTAGTGTTCGCGCTCTCGTTCTTATCCACGGTGATCGAAAGCTTATCGTTGACATGAAAGTCCTTTCTGATTCATCTCTTGGATGCCCGCCAGTGTTACATGAAGCAATACTGAGAAGCAATAAGTCAGTATTAGAGCAGATCTTATCGAAACCCGAGAAAATTAATGAGCTGGATGAAGAGGGGAGGACAGCGCTTTTCTCAGCAGTGGCGGTCCGTCGTGAGGAGGTGGTTGACCTGCTACTCCAGAAAAATAAAATAAAAGTTAATATAATAGATATGTACGGGAGAACAGCTTTGGATGTTGCCGTCGCAGCAGATCCGTCTATAGCGATGCGACTCCTCCGTAACGGTGCCTCGCCGATAGTGGGTATTGACAGTGGTATTTTGAACCTACTTTCGGCTTCAGCGGAAGGACATCGAGCCGAAGTGGAGGGTCTCCTCCTGGACTCTGGCGTTGATGTCAATGGTTGCGATCGACTCGGACTCACAGCACTTCACGAAGCAGCCAGCTTCGGCCATGATAGTATCGTCACTCAGCTTATACAGCATGGCGCGGATGTCAATGTGAGGGTCGCGCTGGGGAAGGATACAGCACTACATATAGCAATCAGGAGAGATGACAACTATCGTAGATTCATAGGCCAGGGTATCTGGAGTAAATCTACAGTGCTTACTATCAACTATATCGAAGTAGTCAAGGCTCTTTTACGGAATGGAGCTACTACTAGTCAAAGGCGGCATGATGGGCGTACTGTGGAGGATCTCGTGACAGGAGGACCTTTCCAAGCCTGGTTTGTCCGAAGATCGAAAACACTCTCTCCAAAAGATTCTAAAGACTTTGAAGAGTCCCCCTAAGGTACAAGCGAAAGTCACAGGGGAATCTAACGTGAGAGTACCGAGATTAGACAACGAGAAAGTAGACATGTGTGGTTTGTTTGATGTCCGGATCCAATATCATACTTCCGATTCTTAGCTACCACGAGAACTGTCCATCGGAAGCTTCATATACCCTCAATTCAATCATGAATCTGAACGAAGAGTTCAGCTTGCGGAATGGGAGAAAGAAATGGAGGGGGACGAATATTGGAGATGGATACACTTACCTGCAAACAATGTATGTCTGGAAACTAAACTCCTCCATGCATATATTGAATTATTCAAAAAGCTAATTAGGCGCAGAAAATTTGGGTCAAGGTAAAGACATATAAATTCTATCGCAGTGCACGAAATACTCATAGGAAATGTGGAAGTAGGATATGATTCGCACTCTGTACAGCCACCGCGAGATCAATATGACGCCGGATCACTTCAAGGAGGTTATAAAATTTATTGACCGCTCGTTTAATGAATTTAGAAGATCGACTTCCGATGTACGCTTGCGAAGACCGTCCTTCCTACGGTGTTCTAAGCCCAAGCACGTATTTTCAATAGTCGTAAGTTAGCACATCTACTAAATCACAACTTGAAATTTAGGCGCTAAAGTCTTGCTTTATAGATCCCTTATTTTGACATAGAGGCCGTTGAGGATTATATAAATCTCCAAAGTAACAAGAAGGATCAGTACTACAAGAAGCGGGAGTTGGAGAAGCTGTACCGGTATCGCAAACCCGCCGACGAACCTGAAGATTTGCATATCCCCTATTCGCTAGATCAGTCTTACTACCTATTCCTCAATGACTCGACAGAGAGGGATAAAACCCAGGTTGTCGTTAAATATGCAGAGCTTCAAGAGAAGAGAATGAAAGTAACCGATTCCAAATCGACTCAAACATTAGAACCCCAACAAAGCGAAGATCACAACGCATCCCGCAGCCAGCCAGAACCTTCTTATGGTAAACCAAATGTGGCTTTGGAAGATTAACCAGGGTAGAGTATATCCTAGATATTGGTTAAATTATACTGGAGCCCTAATTTTGAGATTTTATACACGATTATAACCGCATTCCCAGATCGCTTGTATAACGGTTCAGAAGTCAAGCTCCCAACTCAAATTTCCCAGGACATGGCAGTGGACTTACCAGTCACTGTAGATTCAACCATGACAAAGATTCTAGATCGTATTGTTGGATTCATTGATGCACCGAGCAATGCTGGATTAGATGAAAATGTCTTTGGCATTTTTGAGCAAAATATCGCCTACCAAGTATGTTATTCCTAAACGGTGAATAATTTCTGCCAGGTACTTACTCTCATATTTGCAGACCCAAGCAGAAAGAGAGTGTTTCAATATCTTTTCTAAGTGGAAAAAAGTTCCATGGATAAAAAACGTTGATAAACCACAACCCTGGGGTGAAGGCAGTAACCTAGGTAGTTACGAGAGGAACCTCAAGAGACAAGAACTAAGTGCAGAAAATCGAGAAAATGAAATGTGCAGTATATCCAAGGAGGTTGAACATCTCAGTGAAATTAAAGATACTAGAGATGAACTCAGGATGATTGAACGGGTCTTTGTGGATCAAAAAATTGTCATCACTCAATTCCAAGACATATTCGAAAACAACAACGACGACGACGCAAAAAGCAAACTCAAAATCACACTCCAGGGCCTCAATAATCGAATTTCCAAAGTAGATAGACTTGGGAAAGACGCGTTATGGGTTGAAAACTCGGAAAATTTGAGTTACATCCTACTCGGTAGGTACGTGCCTGCAGGTATTTATAAAGCTTACTTTCAAATGAATTCCATACCATAGAAGCATATTTGCACGTTAGATGGTCATTATGTAAGAACTAATCATATCCTATTTATACGTTGCGCAATACCCTCACAAATACGAGGCTAGTTAACACTCCTTACGGTCATCCCTAACACTTACAACAGTTTAAAGCTGCGACTACAAGTAGGTATCAAGCTTAGGAACCCCATAATTACCTAGGTAAGTTCTAGCACGGATATAGAACCGAGGTAACAGTTATATAATTCTCCCCTGAAACGAGTTAGGGCTGAAGCAATATCAACGAGGGCCTCAGCCAGAGGAAAGTCACCACATAAAACTCATACTATACATGATGATTGATTGTAACTTGCACACAATAGACTTCCAATTAGTGATTCTATCTATCTAGTCTGGGATATTCTTTATTGCCCCAACAGGCCGAAAACGACCAAATATCTACGCAGACTTCTTAACCCCCCAGAACTACATCCGTAACGCGAACACAGTAATACTTCCCAGGACCAAAAAAGCCTTAGCCATCGCGGCGACCACTCCGTTCTGCAGGCTACCAGGTGCCTGCGACCTGTCATCCTAGCTGCTCTTGGGCGCCCTACCGTTGTAGTCGACACCCGACTCGGCGGTGTAGTCGCCGAAGCAGTCGTAGTCGAAGTCAATCTCGTCAATGCGGTCCTTAAGCACAGACACTACGTTGTCGAATGCGCAGAGCCCGTGCGGGTCGGCGGGGCAGCCGGAGTACGAGTCCGCGATGGGGATGACGCCGTCGTTTCTGGGGAATTTAATGAGCATGTTTTGTTGCATAATGATGTGGGTTGGGCACTAGTGGAAGGTAAGAGGTGACTTACACAATGAACCTGATTTGCTTGGTGGGTTGGTAAGTCGAGCATTCGAGAACCTGAGTGGTGAAATGGGTACCGAACGGCACGAGCTTGCTGGACGAGAAGCTGTTCTCTCTTTGGTTCTCATTGAGGTTTAGGGGAGGTCCTTTGAACAGTGCTGATAGGTTGAAGGCGGTGAGGGTGTCGAGGACGACAACTTCGTGGGTAGCATCGGCGTAGATGGACTGGTTAAGGGGGAAGTAGGTAGACGAGTTGTCGAACGTCTGGTTCAGAGCTGACCAAGCCTCTGGGTATTCGCCTGTGAAGCGCGCGACAAATTCCTGTAGGTAACCTTTACCCTGGGCGGCCGCAACGGGTGATCCAGGACCGTTGTTGTAGTAGAACGACTTAGATGGGTTAGTATGCTTAGCTACGAGAAAGTGCCTAGTGGAGAAGAAGATTGACATGTTACAACATACAAGGTCAAAGTAGTACTCAAAGTTCAAGAAATCCTCCTGGCTAAACAGACCGCAGAACGCAGAGTACCCAAGGGCGTTAGTTTCATAAGAGCAAAGTTGAAGCATCGCAATGATGTCGGTGGAAGTGAACTCGATACCAGAGACCTTAGACGCATTAGTAACTTGTTGCTTCCTTTTCTCTTGGGCTGTTTAGTAGGCTCACCTGCGAGTTCAGACGAGCAAGGGTAGCGTTGAAAGCATTTTCCGCAAATTCCGAGGCTATCGAGCTCCCAATGCTCCCTCGACTAGCGACATTGGAATTGTCACAGACCTCGTAGGGGGCGCCCGAGTTGTTCACGCCAGGCGCCTCTACAAGAATCTCGATGCTCACTTGATCGAGGTACTCAGGTACGCCGAAAAAGCCGGCCGCGAAGTTCTCGGCAGTCTTAACCATACGGTCCTGAGACTGGGTCCGGAAGACGGGAATAGTACCAGCTTCGGTAAAGTTATTAAGTAGGTGGCCGTAAAGTTGGCGGTGCTGAATACCGAGAAGAAACTCCTGGCTCCTACCGAACGGGGAAAGTAGTTCACCACCCAGTTTATAGGTCCAGTCGGATAAGAATGTTAGGTCACCCTTAACCTGCAGCCCCTGCTTAGTAGCATTCGCGATCTTGTTCGCGAACTGAGCCGGTGCCGCGCCGGTAGTGGGGTATCTAGCACCATGGCGGTATAAGAGATGCACCTGGGTGACACTGCAGCCCGGCGGTGCGAGGGGGCTCGTATCTGGTAAACCGAAATCGGCAGAAGATAGGGAATACCAAGGCGACAAGTTGCCCCAATATTTGGTGATATCGAACTTGTCCGATGTTTCGCTTTGGCCGTGAGGCTGCGGCGCAACTAACGGGAACTGGTTCGTCGGTCCCCGATTATACGGATACGCCGCCGCAGTTTGAATTGCGGCGGGTTCGACACCTGTTGGTGTCGGTCCTGGGAAACCGACTTCAGCCTCTGGTGGGAAGAGTGCAGAGTCAACCGAGGCTTTTCTCTTTGTTAGTAACTAACTACTATATAGGTACCTAAGGTAGGTAGGTAGATATGTACGGTAATGAAATTAATAGTACGTACTGCTCGGTGGTGGAAAGAGGTCCGAGGTGGCCGAGCCGGCGTGGGGTGAGGCCGTTATAAAGGCGGTATCGTCAGCCGCGGTACTGGACTGAACCAGCAGGGCTGACAAGACAACACCGGCAGTAATAAGCTGCATCTTCTTGTCTTGAACTTAGCTAGGTTACTACCTAAGCTCCAGCTGAAATAACAGGGATGCCAAGTGACGGTTTATCAAGAGCTTGACTAGAGCTACCAAAGCTTGATTCTTATAGGGGTTGCGGGAAGGGTACGTGTTGTAATTAATTGGCCTATCAACAACACGGATAAATACATGTGCTTGGCTAACCCCCCCTTGCATGTTGATCCTTTCAATTAGGATCCTATTGTAGAAGGCGGGCGTTGTTGGTCCAATAAGACGCACAGCATCATTCCAATAGCGCGGAACGGAACCCAGCTGAAAAGCGACGCCCGCTCTATGTGGGTATATAGACATATGTATATGTATATGGGGAAGCTGCTTCGAATCTGCCATGATAATTTATAGTTAACTATGACACATTGACGGTATGTTTATTTACCTGTAGAGAAACAGAGTTGGGTAAATATATGTAAGTTGACTGTAAAAAGAAGTGGAAATGAGATGATATATTAGTATAATTAGAGGAAGAGTTGCAATTGCTACTTCTATAACCTAGAACATTATACATTACTTAGCTATGTAGCTAACTAACTAGAACTAAGCGTTTAAGGTTATACCATTTTACCTTAGGTAGTAAGATCGGTATGCAAGTCCCTGAACCCCCCCCGGGCAGATAGAGTTAAGGTACCTTATCCACTACCCCGGTACTCCTCATGTCTCAGGCCGACGTCATATTCCCGTGCCTATCCCGAGTGTCAACCGTAAACACTATGCCACACGAGGTTAGGTACTCAATAGTTCAGTAGAAATTATAAACGCAACGTTCTTTTTATTTAATTGTCAACTGCATCTTCTATATACCGACTGGTTCGGTCTGCCAAGCTAAATTTGCAGTCCGACTAGACTACCCTTGCAATTGTTGATGACGACAACACTCCAATTCCTAAGCCATACGCCAGGAAACTCCATATCTTGTGTAAAGTTTTACAAGATCTGGTAGTTGTAATATTTCTGGTGGTTGGCCTGCTTGCTAAGTGCCCATTCCTTTTGTCTCGCCGCCTTATGCTCTTGCTTACGGCTTCTCTGCTCGGCGCGAGCCACTTCCTTCTTCTTCTGATCTGTCACTCCTAACATACCAGTACCGCCATTCGCTCGGCTTATAACGGCACCGTTACGCCCGCGGCCTTCACGTCGAGAAACCTGGCCATTGCCATTCTTGGCATCGTCGTCAACTTCCATGGCGTCACCCTCAGCTGAAGCTGCTTCAAGAGCAAGTCTTTCCGCACGTTCCTCGGCTGAAGGGTGGTTGTGTAGGTTCTGGCGATAATACTTAGCCAGAGATCGGTGGCCTACCGAACGACCCGAAGGAAGATGTAGCTCGGTATCATCGTAAAAAATGGCACGATGTTTGTGAGCATGCGAGTGCCATCCATCCATCTTATGGTGGTGTCGCGGGTCGTGAGATGAGTGGTGGGGATGCTTCTCGAGCCGTTCGTACTGCCGGTAATGGTGATCAACGGGAATAGGACCCAGATCTTCAGACTTGCAAGACGAAGTAGAGCTGTCCGTTTCCCAGCCTTCATCCTCCATAATCTCGTCTCCATTTTCTCCTACAGCCTTGGCTGATCGTCTGGCCCCAAGCTTAGCTCCTCCGTTCTGCTTACTATCGTCGACCGACTCATCTTCCGACTCTTCGCCATCTGAGTATGTGCTTCTGAAGTCGTAATAATCACCAATGTCGACCTGCTCATCTTCTGAAGTATAAGGTATCTTACAATGACCCTTATCACGCATATGCGTTTGTACAGCAGTTGCGCTGGTCTTAACCTTCCCGCAGTACAGACATTCATGGAATTCTTGGATCCGCTGTTGTAATGCGCCAATAAGGCCATCCAGATTAACAAGATATTGCTTCTCCGGAATAAACATGCTGTGGATGCGCTCCATATGAACGACGTTTAACGGGACGGTTGGCGAGTCATAATTACAGAATAAGCATGACTTCAATGTAAGATTCGGAACCGGTGTTGTTGTGCTAGAAGCAGCCTCGCTAGCATCTCCTGACACGGGATGCTCTCTCTTGTGCTGCGCCTCGGCTGAAGGATCGGGATTTGATGGGCGCTTGACTGGGGAAGGATGTTCTGTTAAACTAGCCTTTTGAATCCCTTCAACCACTTCGTTGAACTCATTTTCAGCAATAGAATCGACTTCCTCGCTGTTATTTGAAGGTATAGGGTCGCCGAGAGAGAAGGTAGAGCTCATAACAGAGCTGGCATCATCCTGATTGGGTCCCCGGTGTTGCACGGCTGCCTCTCGCGCCTTATGTTTCTGACTTGAAATATGATTTCGGAAAGAGTTCTCGCTGTAGTATGTCCGTTGACAGACCTCGCAAATTTGCTGAAATCCGGCACGGTCTGCTTCAGCGCTGGTCGCAGCGCGGGCTTGTAGGACCTTTTCGGTAAAGACCTCAGATGCAATTGGAGGCAGTGACGCAACGCGACGCTTAAGATTATATCGA